CGAGAATACACAAAAACAAAAAAATAAAAACTCCCAATGATTGCATGAATCGGGGTAAAATACACGCCAACATATAGACACTGACTGTGCGTGTGTGTGTGTATGTACCAATACATGCACATGTATCTATACATGAACACGTACCTGTAGCTGTATCTGTATCTGTTGTTTCCCTTTTGTATTTAACCAAGCGAATTGCACAATGTTTTGTTGCTTTCTCGAGCGTTGCGTTGTTTTTTGTCTTTCATACACTAACAAAGGGTATTGTCACTTTGTCAGGCAGTGTGAAGCGCATTAATTGAGGTCAAAAATGTCGGAAATGCCATTAGCTACAATGTTATTGATGAATGTATCTAGAAGTATTTGAACTTAGCTCTCAACATTTTTGCAGCTTGATGCATTTTTAGAACTATGCGAATTGGGTTCTATAACATTAAACAGATATATTGGGGCAAAAATTTTAAGAGATATTTTCGAGTATGCAAAATATATGGGCAGTTTATTTGGATATATAATAATTATAGCTTCAAAATTAGATTAGATTTGTATTTAATTTTTTGATTAATTATTAATCATTTTTGGCAGACAAGTGTGTTAAAACTTCGGCTTAAACAAACAAACTGAGCTTGATTTTTATTTTTTTTTTTGTTTTTTGTCTGGCCGAGCGACGCTCAAAGGCGGCTTTTTGCTGTGGCCTGTTAATTTGTTTGCCTTAACTGTCAAGTATGTTATGTACACACACACACATACACAAACGCACACACAGATGCACACATACACACTTGGGTACAAACGCGACGTCTGATTCAGATGTGTATCTGTGTGTATATACACATTTATGTTTGTGTGCATGTGTGTGTGTGTGTATACCTGAGCCGCTGTGCTGCACGTGTAAATGTGAACTATGTAAATAACGTGTGCTTGTTCTTTCCACCAGTTGCTGGGCAATGCAACAAGTTTTTTAAATTTTTGTTTTTTTTTTTTTTCTTTTTGCTGACTTATTTATTTATTAACTTGTTGAGCTTGTCGACGTATTCATGTTTCTTTTTTTCTGGTTTTTTTCTTCTGATTCACAGGGCGTCAATTTAGCGAGCTTTTTAAATTGCTAACAGAAATATACGTGCGAATATCCACATATATTTGCTGTTATCGACTGACTGACTGACGAACTGACTGATTGATGATCAACGCACTGACCAAGCCATGAGGGCTAGCAAGCCGGGCTTTTCACAAAAGTTATCTATTGTGATATAATCTTTCGGAATGAATAGAATGCGTTTGTTGTTTTGCATTCTATCAAATTGATATAGTTAGAAAGCGCATCGGAAAGGTGTTTCACAGTTTTCAGAAAATGCATTCGCCTAACAGACATCTGCTCGCTGCCGCTTCCCCCGTTCGGTACATGATCAACACGTTCGAAGATCTGGTCAACGATGGGTAATACTTGAAGTAAATATATATATATTTACATTATGCATAACTATATTTGAGTTGAGCGATTATTTGGTTTTAGGGTGTGTTTTATTACCATTTGTATGCGCACAAATATTTGCCATACTTATTAGTATTTCAAATGCGTAGCTAGATACTTTTGTATAAGGTCTCTGGTGTAGTTGACTCATGCATCTGCTGATCGTAGAAGCACGTCAGTTGCCCTGTTATTGCTGTCAATTATTGAACGTGTGTAGTTCATCTTATCACAAAGCTGATGAGACAGAGCTGCATTGCCTGGAAACTGATTCATTTGCGAATAAACATATGACATCATGCATCGTCGAATTCTGGGCAAATTAAATTAAACGCTGGATTTTAAATAAATATAAAAGCTCAGATCTAAACAAATCTGCGGCTCTGCTGTATATAGTAGCTTATGAAAATAAGCAAACAAAGCAAAAGCCAAGAAATTCTCATAAAAACTGAAATTGATTAAGCTATGCCTACATCTCTCAGCAGCAGCAGCAGCTCGACTCGCCACATTCAGATACGGCTACAGATACAGATTCAGACACAAATGTCCGCGTATGCTTGTGCGTGTGCGCCTCTGCTGGGAAGCTGAATACACACACATAATTGCGTACATATTATATAAAAAAGATGATGTCATAGCCACAAAACAAGCCATGCCAAAAACGAGGCTGACATAAAACGAGCTAAAAAAACAAGAGTGCTTCCATCAAAAAGTGGCCGAATAGAAGATAACGCTGTATCTGCGATCCTTTTTCCTTTCTGTTTACATCTCCATAAATCCATTATACTCAGTCCTAATCAATTTCCAGGGTATACAGGCTACTTAGCTTCGCGAGTTTGCAACTGCCATCCGCCTGGGATTCACAGTTCAAAACACTTGCGATTCTACGAATAGAGCAATTGGCAATTGACAAGTACTCTTATGAAATCTACATCTATATTTCCATTGAACTAAGCTTAAAAAGGGGAATTTCGATTTCGTCTCTCTATCATTTATATCATTTACTTACCGACACAATGGTATTGAATACGAAGAGTATATATTTAACCATAGACGTTCCACAATCCATTTTATTGTAGTTATTGCTTTCTGAAATGCATGAAAGAAAAGTCATTTAGTAGTTGTTATTTATTTAAACATTAAAAGAAACAAGTTCAAATAATGCAAATGCATATCGAAAATGGATGCCATTACGCAATATGAATACGATTAAAATGATTTGTATTTGTATGCGATACAGTTAATTAATTTTATGCAGCCGAGGGTTTATTTAATGGAAAGTTGAGCTACAAATATAAACTTGTTTTGTATTTATTTATTGCTTTTATATATAGCACAAATTTATTTGATTTGTTTTGCTTTTTAGTTGCAGAAAACGATATCTTGATATCGTATTATGTGTGCTTTCCCCCTTTTTGTATGCGCCTCAGCTATTTCGTTTTATATTTCTGCCCATTTACGAAATACCAAATATAATTAATTCCAAGCTAATAAACAGCTGAATCCAATGTTAAAAATAGCTAAAAATAGCTAAATGACTATTTAGCCAAAATTGCAGACGCCAGACAATTTCAACGGTTTCTGGTAGACAATATTTTGAAAATAGTCAGATCTAGCAAAAAAACTGCTCAATTGGCCACACTGATTATACGATAGCAATTGCGATATTTGTAACATGCGTTCTTCTTCTTAACTTTATTTTTCCTTAATGGTCACACATTTAATGTTCATACTTAACCCCTAAAAACCGGTTCGGCTATCGTAAGAAAAAAAAAAACAAATGTTTCTGAACAAAAAAGGCAAACGTGTTAGCAAGTCGATTCAATTTTTTTTTAAATCGGACATTTGAACTCATGTTTCGGTGCTTTATTCTTTTAATAATCTATAAAAGTGTCATGGTTAGCAGCAATTAAAAACAATGCTTGCTAATTAAATATTGAAGTTAAACTTTTGCGCCTTGAGACGTGTTTACGCCGTACTTCCCATTCTTCGTCATTCTTATGGGTTGCCTTAGCAACCACAACAACAACAACAACAACAGTTTCAATAGTGGAAAACCTCACCTCCTATTCACAGGAAAACCCAAAAGGAAAAGTTCACTGCACTCGCTCACACGGATAATAAAGCAGTCAGTAACAATAATAATTACCATACATTATCATTTAATTTTCATCTTTCATATATTTATCTTCACTGAGTAGCTGAGTTTGTAAGTGCGTCGTCTTTATTTTGAATGTGCTTTCGCACTTTCCGTTTTCAACCACTTTCACATGCATCTTGTTTCGAGCAGCTGCCGCTGCAGCATCTCAGGCAAGTGAGGCAGAAGCAAATACATATGTGTGTGTGTATATGTACACAGCGCATTCACTTATTCGCTTAAGTGCACATTGGCATTTCATACTTAATAACATTACCTTTTTTGATTTTTTATTTTATATTATATTTTTATTCAAGTAACACGCGCACGGCACGTCCGACTCGGCGAAAAACTGTTTTTGATTTGACTTGACTAACACAAAAGCAACGACGCAAAACTGGTTTACAGTGTGACCAAACTGTGGTAAAAATGAAAATCTGCTGTCGATATTTTAATTCTGGTGTGGGGAAATGCAAAAAAAATACTGCTTTCCTATAAAAATAATATATAATTAATCGTATACATTCATTTTCAAAATACATGCCTAGTAAAAGTAATAATAATACCAAAAAATATTATTATTTGGCATATCTGAGAATGACGGATGTGTGGCGACAACCTGTCGTTTTTGCGACCCTGTCTTATTGGCGACAAGAACTTGGGAAACCCCGATCAAAAATCGTGAGGTGAAAGATTCGTTTCTATACCCTATCCCATTAAAAATGGGTATAAGGGTATATTGTATTTGTGCAAAATCCAAATGTATGTAACAGGCAGAAGGAAGCATCTCCGACCCCATAAAGAATATATATACTTGATCAGCATCAATAGCCGAGTCGATCTAGCCATGTCCGTCTGTCTGTCAGTTCGTCTGGCCTTCTGTCCGTCTGTCCGTCCGTCCGTCCGTCCGTGCGTATGTATGAACGCAAGGATCTCAGAACCTATAAGAGCTAGAGACTTGAAATTTTAGATGTAGGGGCTCCTAGTGCCAGCGCCGATAATCGATAATCGATAACTTACTCCGTTTCCAAGCAATCGATAATCAATATCGATATTCTTTTTCTTGGGCAATTTTGGTAAATAATAAGAGCTAGAGTCACCAAACTTGACATATAGCTTCTAAAATATAATATATATGCATTTGATGTTGGAAGAAGAGGTCTTAGGGTATCCCCTAGTCGGGAGCTCCCGGCTAGAACCTCTTACTTGTTTTTATATATTCCATGAAGCGTACTTAACCAAAAGTGATATATTAATAAAACAAATTGTTCATATTTAGCTTTCTCTCTTTTAAGAATATTTTTATTTAAATAAGATAAAACACATATCATTGTTGATGGGCATAAATTGCCCTTACCGCATTTGCAGTTTTTATTTAAAAGTACACGATTTCCATAAAGTTTATAGTACAGCAAATACTATATTATTATGAAATGCATGTGTACTAATATTATAATAACGAGAAAGTACGACTATCTTCGGCAGACCGAAGAGTTAATACCCTTGTAGACATTAGCCTTACGGCTTTGCAGATATGCAATACTAAAACTCATTCGAAATAATGTGCCTATAGAGCTGATCCGCTATACATATACTCTATAGGGTTGGATATGTATCCTTCTATGCATTACATAATTCATGAGAAAATTATAATACCGTCTACAAGAGCGTAATAATATGGAGATAAATTTCGTAATCGCAGGGTTAGCCTCAAGTTAAAAGATTAAAAATTTTGACGTCTCTGATTGTTGCGGGTCTGATTCGCCAAACAGCATGCAAATATGAAAGCGACCAACTGTAAGCAGAGTAATTTTGCACTGAGGAACGAAATTCTAAAAAAAAAAACAAATGTTCGTAAATTACCTCAACCGCAGTTACGCCCAAACCAGCATATTTGATAATATTGGCATTTGTGTCCCATAGAGAGTCAACGGCAGACTTACAGCCCGGCTTAAACATGACGGACGTTAAGCTACAGGTGCCATTTGTGGGCGTGTCACAGCAGGATGCAGGATAGGTAACGCCATAATCGGAAAACTTGTGCAGGCCACAGCATTTCAACTGAAATTTTTAAGATGTGGGATTTTGAGGGAAATAATGCAATAGTAATTGCTATTCGAATGCTTACGGATTTCTGCAGAGTATCCATCAAGAGGCCATCGGTTTTTCGCTGTTCCCAAATTGTTTGCACAACCTTGTCCAGAGATTCACGTATTTGCACATGATTTATCCACACATAGATGATCAGGGCGATTTGGCAAAAGAACAAACCCAACATGATGATCGAGTACTAAATTTATGAAAATCCATTTCATTAGTATTGTTTTGATCACAATAATTCCCGGCTCCAATTTACCGTTGTTAGGCCACAGGCATTCTCGCGAATGGCACCGCAGCATCCCAGAAAGGAGACCAGAAAGATGACACAACCCAAAATAAGTATTATTATAGCCACACTATTTGCAGTGAAGGTTTGGTCAACGCTCGAAAAGTCCTTGATTTCCGAGACCATAAGAGAACCAAATATGATCAGCAAAATGCCGCAAATCTAAAAACAAATCAATCACAAATAATGTAAGCATTTAAAGTATTTCTGCGGAGCGCGCATTGAAAATAGCATCGGAACAGTCATAACAACAAGTATTACTCATTTCTCGTTATCGCTCAATTGTCGATTGTTTCGAAACATCTTCCGCAGCTCATTTACTATAATTACGGTCAGCATTGGCATGTAATGTGTGAAAATCACGACATTCCTAACCATTTCTCGATATGAGTTCACATTTTTCTCCACATAAGATAAGATAGGGCAGATATAACATATAATTCGCGCACGTAAGAGCCTTCTTTTTGCTCGTATTCGAACATCATGAGTTTATTTTACTTATTCCTTGAGATAAGATAAGCCAGCCGTTTGTATGAGTCGATTTTAGTCATTTCAAGTGAAATTGTATCGAACTCCCGCTCTAGGGGTAGAGTGCTAAAACTTACCACAAATAATATATTAAATATGAAGAGCACATATTTAACAAAAACCCCACCGCAATCCATATTGAATAACTGTTTTCGTATTACTCGCGGTTAGCTTTAACTACGATCCGATTCGCTTCGGTTTCGACATTCAACTGAGTATTATTTTAACAATTGCAAAATGTTCTAACTAAGAGCTTTTTCTTATCTTTAAATGCGGTAAGCTTTTTCAAACAGAGCGCGAGCATTAAAAAGCTTTGCATACATTCGGGCGACACATAGGAAAAATACTAAATACCAAGTACCTTGATAACCTTTATAGGGATATAGAGCTCACGTATTATGGATCATACTTTCGGGCGTCTCAAAGATAAAATACTAACTACTAAATACTTATGTAGACAAAAGTAATGACGGGGATATAGAGATATAAACCTCACATATTATAAATCATACTTTCGGGCGACACATAGAAAATACCAAATACTAAATACTTTTGTAGAAGAAAACGCTCACATAATTTAACTCAAATCTAGCTTCGACCGTTGTCCACCGATTGATCTCCATAGATTCTCGAGTAGTAGCTATAAACCGAACAATACTTAAACTTATTTTCTTATTCCTTACAAACTCCGAAAATCAATTATTGATCTATATATATTTTATTATATGATAATTTTACAAGTAAGCGACAAAGAAAATCAGTTTTTTTGCCGTTTAAACTTAAAGAAACACTCGAGTGGAAGATTTTATTTCTGATTTTCAGTAAGCCGAAAAGATTTTTTAACTAAGAAATAACTTAACCGTAGACTTGTCTACCCGCATTCGCTTTACGCATGCAGTTGGCCAGCATGCCGGCTACGACAAAGACAATCAGCTCGTATATGCATATGCCCAGTCCGGACCATAGAACGATGTCGTTGTTGTTGCTCCAGAAATCGTAGAATTTCTGATTGCAGCCCTGGCGGGTCTCGTAAATGCTGGCCGGGCAGGTCTGCTGGCGATTCGAGTAGCCGCAACAGGTGCCGGGCACATTACCGTTATAGTCCTCGAAGCCCTGGTTGCCGCAGCAGTCGAAAGTTAGCTCCAATGCGCCCATTGGATAGCCATTCGCCGCATTGTTCTCATTCCAAATTGTGGTCACCAGCTTGCTCATATCCTGCAAAAATTGTTGCCCATTCACAGCGATCCAGCAGGTGAGCACCAGTTGCAGCACAAAAAGTAAAAACATCAGGGTAGCATACTAAAAATATATTAAAACCAAAATCAATCAAATATGAGCATGCATTAGAGACCGGGAAAGAACCCACCGTGCTTGTCAGGCAGGCGCTCTGGCGCCAGATACCGCAGCAGCCGAAGAAGGAGACTATGAAAATCAACACACCCAGTACGGTCACACAGACGGGTATGGTATTGGCGCTGCTCAGCTGCTCCAGCTCGGTTAGGCGGTTAAAGTTGGATAGCATTATGGAGCCCAACACAATCAGCAATATGCCAACCACCTATTAAAATATATTTTAAATTTAATATAATATGATTTATAGACAATATCTTAGATGCTTGCAGTTGTTTATTTAAATATTAAACTCATGAATGCTACTAAGCGTCAGAAGCTTTCATATTTGCCTTCAAATTGCGTAATTTGCCATCTAAGAAACTTTATTTCTGCTTATCCTAAAACATTTAATATAATAATATATGCCCTTCTATGCAATTCTCATAAATTGTACTAAGCGTCAAAAGGTTTCATGTTTGGCATAAAATTGTTTAATTTGCTATCTAGGAAACTTATTTGAATAGATTTCTTGTTTGGTGTACAGAAAAATTTGTATTTCTGTATGAAATAATTTGATATAGTTGACTTGCTAATATCAAACAGATATAAAAAAACTATGTTACAGGATGATTAATGCTGTCTTTATCGTTATCATTATTACAAAGCGGACATAATCCATCATTGATAACGCCGCACACACTTGTGCATGTCACTCAACTTGTATCTTAATGAGAGTACCAATGCAATCAGTGTACATTTAAGTGACTCAGACGCTGAAAATGATAATGTCTGATAAAGCTAGCTATATATATAAAATTGCAAATAATAATCCTATGAGCCTCAGCACATGAGCAACAATTGTCTATCGATATATATATAGATATATGCCAGATACAAATATTTGAGCATTGTTAACTGCGAAATATTTCGGCTAACAAAGAAATATGTGCTTAATTAAAAGAAACTCGAAATATTGAAGATTAAAGATATATGTCTTTGATAATTAAAGCATAAACTATTCGATTGTCGAATGAAATACTTTTGTATTATATATAATTCGTTTAAGGTCCAATAATAAGCTATGTATTATTTGAAAAAGGATTTGTATTTGTCAAATATTATTAACAGGCACTTCGTGATATATCGTTGAGTTATCTCGCACATTTCACTTGATTCCGTAAATAGTTAATTATAGTACGTTGTAATTAACTCACCAGAAACACAACATTTATGATATATATAAGGATATTAAGTATTCCCGATATGCAACCCATTTTGAAGCCGTTTTCAAGGATCGTTTATTTAGTTAAATTCACTTCTATTATTTTTGGCAAATTTTTGTTAGTTTTGATATTTTATCGCGCTTTGTGTACGCGTCGATTACTGTCGTTCGATTCGACTGTCCTCAAGCTGTTCCGGCCGTTATAAACTAACCGAGTCGTTGTCATATCTAGATAGACTCCCCATTTGTGTATCTTATCAGCCCGAGATAACACGAATATACGCAATCGTTGCGCTGGGTCTTCGCAAAAATAAAAAAAGAAACCACGAAAAATAGCCAAAAAGTAAATATTTTGGGTACATGTTATGGCCAGAATTGATACATTGATAAGCCATGAATCAGCTACAAGTTGTTATGACCTAATACGCACTGAGAGTCTTGCGACTATATCAATTTCACAAAAAATTATAAATACCCAAGAGTCCATCTGATAACGAGTTCTGCGAACTTTGCCAAAAGTTTTATTCTAAGCGAGTTATGGGGGTGGGAATTTTGACATATGTCTATATAGGATATTTGGGGGAACCAGTTTTATATGAACTTTGACGAAGAAAAATTTTGCCAGACTTAGATGCCAAATTGATCTAGAGGCCCAGCCATGAACAAAGAGCTTAACCTCATAGAAATCAGGAGAGATTTGACCGAGTTATGGGGTTGGGAAATTTCAACCTATGTCTATATAGAATATTTCACGGTAACAAGAACTTTAGCCAAAAATATTGTTGCCTTATTTATAGTTATATACAACTGGCCCGACTACCAGAATACTCTGGAACCAGCCGGCTGCTACAAATATGCTATCTTCTCTCTATACAATTCCAACAATTCTTCTTGTCGCAACCCTGGTCTAGTCTAGTCTAGTCCTTAATAACTTCGGTGTTTATAGTCCGATCGTAATGCAATTGTCAGAGCTTAAATATAGTATAAAGTAGTGCATATATACCAAGGTGCAAGGTTCTATCACATCTGGGGGATATGGTGGCCAATAGCTGAACTATTCGTAATATGTTTCGGAATTCCCATCGACGAAAAGACAGACGAACTGATAGTCATGGCTAGATCGTTAGAAGATACAAGGCAACCCCTCTTAATAATTTTGTATGGTATAGTTATCTACAAAAACGATAAGATATTTTGCCATTTACACACACATGCATGCATTTCTGATAGATCATAAAATCGACAGCCCACAATAAATTCACGTTGTAAGTATCTAAAGCTAATTTGTTTATTTATGACTGTGATGAACGAATGTAGGATGTAAAATATAGACTAGGAGTTAATTTAACGCTTCCTCATGGCGTTGGCCAAGCAGCAGGCTATCACAAAGATGCCCAGCTCGAAGAGCGCCACAATCAAGCTGCTCCAGCTAATGAGATCCGTATAGGATTTCCAGAAATCGGTGAACGTGCTACGGCAGCCGGCACGCACTGAGTAAATGGCAGCATCGCATACCCTGTTCCTATCCGTATAGCCACAGCAGGAAGAGGGCACAACTGTATAATCCGTAAAGCTGTTTACGCCGCAACATTTGAACTAAATTGCAGGAAAATCAAATGAAAAGTTAGATCTCACATTCGTCCAAGATATGCTAATGATCGCTTACAGATATCTGCAGTGCATCCATGGGATAGCCATTGGCAGCATCATTTTGTTTGCCGGCGGCATCCACCAGTTCGCCCATTTTGCCCACGAAATAATCATTCTGCACAAAGATCCAAATGGAAAGCGCCAATTGCAGACCAAACAGTATAAACATGAAAATCGCATACTGCAAAGCGAGAAGGTTAGATAAGTTTCGAACAAAGTTACATGGGTTCGACTCACAATTGTCGTGCAGCAGGCATTTTCGCGTATAGTGCCGCAGCAGCCAAAGAAGGAGATCACAAATATGACACAGCCGATGACAATGATGCATATGGGTATGGTCCGGGCATTGAACGTGTCACTGAAGGAACCCAGGGTGCCCAGGCTGGACAGTATGATGGAGCCGACCACGATCAGCAAAATGCCACCAGCCTGTAAGCAAATAATAATAAAATCCAATTAGATCCAAGTCAAGTTGGGGGCGTCCATATCCAGGAGGGTCTGCCGATCAAAACTATTACGGCAGCGGATACCTTTCCACATTGTTCGCATTCCAAGCACTTACCAAAAAGACGAGATTGAGTAAGTACAGTAAGTACTTGAACATCTTGGATAAGCAATTCATTTTGTTAGATTCGTTATTTCGTTTCCGTTGATTTTCGATCGATTCCAAATTAAGTCCGTTCGTTGCGACAGCTCGCGTCTAAATTAAATACCATAGCCAAGATCTGGGCCTTAATAATGAAATTGTCGACCCAGCTAACCGGGCTGGGGCCCCAGCTTATCTTCCCGGTTATCTGACAACAACAAAACCCATTCACATAACAACAATTCGCGGCGGACTTGTGGAACCTTATCAATGGACCCTTATCGGATTGTACCCAAAACGGAATGCGCCGGTTGCGGATGATACTGTCAACCGTATATGGCCACCTATACTATTATTATTATTATTATTATTAACTAGTCGAAGGCAGACAAATAGAAGTTCATCTGAGTCATTAACATGAGAGAACTTTGAGAACTTTGTACTCTAATCTTCAGGGTGTCCCATTGCTAAATCCTATGAGGCTGTTGCTGATTCATCGATATCTAGGTCTATATTCTGTATATTATATGGAATATATATAGCTTTAGCTAATTAACTAATCTAAGTAGCACATGAGTCAAAATCGTCTTATCAAGTGCACAAAAAGCCAACGCTACGGGAGTCCCCCAACATTTCCTAACTGATTTATTAATAACCAGCTTGAAATGATAATCAAAATGTTGATCGATTTGGTCAAAGACGGTTTCAATATGCAACATTAAGCTTATTTAATTACTTTATTGTCAGTTAGCAAAAGCTACTAAGCAAGAAATTAAATCAATTATATTTTTATTATAAAAAAAAGCTATTCAGAAAAAAGAAATAGAATACATGCATAAAAATAGACCAGATAACTAAAAGTCTTAATAGATATCAGTTCTATTTGTCTTTTTTTTTATATCCAATCGAAAATTAAAAAGATATTATCATAGAGTATCCAGATATCATACACGTGCATTATTTAAAAAAATAAAAGCTTTTGTTTTTAGACTTTAATTAAATAAATTTCTCTTCAATTCTTAGCAAAGCAAAACATAAGAAATTTGTATACAAAATGTGGAAATATTTACGCTTTCAATTTTATCAGCAACGATTATTTTCGAGCCCTAATTTACAGAGCATATATGTGGCCTATCAGCTCTTCTGTGTGACAAACCAAAATAACCCAAGTGCTTTTTCAAAATATAGATAACAAATTTGAAGTGTCGAATATATGAAAAAATCAAAAGTATTCTTTTAAACCAAATATTACGTTATCTTTCAATTATACTTAATATTATTTGATGAAAAAATTCCGTTCACACCAAAAGACATACAATTTATTTATAAATTTATTGCATTTCGTATAAATAATAAAAATCGTTACAAATACATTTAGTTTGTACAGTAAAAAAAGTTAGCACAAGCATATGGAAAACAGTGCAAAGATTATGAATATAATTTTCAATAGATATTGTCAAGGTGCGTAATTAAAAGAACAACAAAAAATATGTGAGACTCGATATCCTTACTGAAATGGCCAACTGAATCATATCAACTAATAAGTAGGTGCATGATTTGTATAAAATTGGGCAACATAATTCGTACTTTCGGTTTGCATTAAAATTAGTAAGGCCTCAAAGCCCTATGCTGGCCAGTTATCCCAGGTGGAGCCCATTAATAGTCCGCTCGGCGTCGATAGTTTCGAATGCTGTTCGCCAAACAGCAGGCAAACACAAAGCCCACAAACTGTAAAGGGAATTTTGTTGCATTAGCCAACGAACTGGACAAAGATTATGGGGTCTTACCTCAATGGCGGCAATGACCAGGCCAGTGTATTTGATAATGTCGCTGTTTCTGTCCCAGAACTCGACAAAGGCCTGCTTGCAGCCGCGACGATAGACGGTCTCCTGACGGCAATTGTTGGTGTCCTTGCAGCACGAGGGCGGGAAATAGCCCTGGAACGCATAGTCCGCAAAGCTGCTGCGTCCGCAGCACTCCATCTAAAACATTGAATAGAATGTCAGAACAAACTGTTTATACCCTCTGTGAGCTAGACCTACGCTTATCTGTATGGCATCCATGTAGTCGGCACGGCGTGTGCGACGCTCCCAGGCCTTCTCAACGACATCGCCCATAATCACCAGATACTTGTCCTTTTGCAGCCACATATAGACGACCAGCGCCAGCTGGCCAATCATCAGCACAAACAGCAAAATGGAGTACTACAAATGCGCCGCATTAAACTCATTCTGTTGAATATCCAAGAGGGTAAAATACTCACCGTCATGGACATGCAGTAGGATTCGCGTATGGCGCCACAGCAGCCAAACCAGGAGATCAGCAATATCACCGTGCCGAGGACAATCATCGTAATGGGCACCTGTTGGGTGCGCAGCGCCTCGGCGAAGTCATCGATGTTGTGGATGTTGCTGAACAGCAGGGCGCCAAATACAATCAACAAGATGCCGCATATCTGACGAAGGGACATAATAACAACATAAAATGTTTATTGGGTAAGTTGAATGGAAAGCTCAGCATAAAAAGCTTTGGCTGATATGAAAAGCGCCCAATTCAAATAGCTGAAACTCGAATTTTCTCTAACAGTTCAATAAAAAAGTTACTTGTGCTGGTACTCAATTATGGGATATATCTATTAATAGTATATCTACCACTAGAGACAGCATAGATTATAAAAACAACATTAAAACTTCGGCCTAACGCGCTTTGCTGCTGTAATTCACAACGAGTTAAAGCTGCGTGCAGCTGTTAAGGCGTTGACAAAAACAGTTTTATAAATATTTTGTTTATTCTCTTTTTCAAATATTCTTGAGTATTGAAATTCTTCTTCACTAGACAAAAGGTCTGGTAGTCTTAGGGAGTCTCAGACAATTTTACATTACATAAAGAAAGTAAAAGAACATATTAATACAATAAGCCACAATTTTTCAAATACTTAAATCGATTATATATATATGTACATATATAGTTTCGATGAAATTTCTTCTATTTTGGGCTTAGTTTTAGGCCCTGTATTTACGATACCGCCAATTGATGGTGTTACCAAGGCTTATCATCGGTTCTATCTAATCGATAGAAGCAATCCAATTAAGCAATTTAGATTAAATGATAACCATAACAAATAAATATGCTAAAAGCAACTGTTTGCATTGATTTCGCGTGTGTGTGTGTGTGAAATACGTCAGCAAATTGTTTTTGCAATGCATAAATATGAATATAACCTCTTACTTCATTTTAAAGTATAAATATTCAGTTGAGATAAGCCCACAAATATTAAGAAACTTCCGTGGCAATTAACGAGAGAGCTTGAACTCGCATATTTGACCTATTTTAAAGAACGGGAAATAATCTAATTTATGCACAAAAGTCAACGAGCAGAAGATCAGACATAGATGAGCACTTTTATGAATGAGTACTATGAGTACTCGTGAATGTGTGTGTGTGTGTGTACTCGCTTACTATATAACCCATAAGTCAAGCCAAATGAGTTCAAGTGTGCTGTCAACGTCGCCGCCCAATTTCCATTACAAAAATTTCCCCACAGTACGTTAAAGTGTGCGTGTGTAAATGCAATGGGGGCCTTTTTTTTCGGACCCAGTTTTGAATGACTAACCGACTGACTGACTGACTGACTGACTGACTGACTAACTGACTGACTGGCTGTCTGGCTGAGGAGCTGTGCGCCAAGTTCATATATAATTAAGATAGCTATTTTAGGCGTGGACACCCTCGCGCCCTGTCGTCGCTCTATGTAATTGCGCAATTTTCCATTTGGCATTGCACAATTTTTGGCTGGGTGGGTTGATTTTTTTTTTTTTTTTTTTTGCCTTTGCGTGACTAAACTACAAACTATACGAACTTTTTCTATATTACAATCGGTGTTGAGAATTTCCCAAGCCCATTATGCATGCCATAAAAATATAAATATTGTTTAACGCTCGCTCGAAAACCGTTCTGTGGGTACAGTTTTTTCTCGTCTCTTTTCTTTAATGGGAGTTATTATTCAATTTATAAAAAATACCACGAAAATACAAACATTGTTTAACATTCACTCGAAAACTGTTCTCTAGGTACAGTTTTTTTTCTTCTTTTTTTAATGGGCATATGAAAATAACAGTCGCTCGAAAACTGTTCTCTGGGTACAGTTTTTTCTCTTCTCGTTTTTTTTTGTAATTAGAGTTTTTAGAAGTTGGCTTTAAGCAATTACAAAACAAATGAAAATGGCATTGCGAGAAACCAGTTGCCGTTGGCGACTGGTTAACCTCGGCAGCTGGTCGTGCCAAGTGTTTATAGAAACAAGAATCAAGAATCAAAATAAAAGACAACAATAGATATACTACTCTATACATACTCCATACTCTATACTAAGTCAGGCACACAACAGTCGTTGAAGTTAGCCCCGATTTAGTAACAAGTTTCGCATTCCAGATGATCTCAAAAGCTGTGACTTGTCGCATTTTTTCGGGTCAACCGGTTTGTAGGCCTCCCACCCCAACAGTGTACAGTGGAGACTGTCTAAAAACAACGGTCTTGAGATTTTTGAATGGGCTTTCTCGCCCACTTAAATATTTAATAAATTTATTCTATTCTTAGCAACAGTTGCTGAGAAATTGAAGATTCAAATAAAATTCTCAATCTATTAGCGACTTGTGTTAGTCTCCGACAGTTTCTACTGTATAGACGGATGTGTGTGCCTGAGAAAACCAGTTTTAATGTGAATTGAAAGCCTCGAGCTGCTTATGATATCATGCCAACAAATTAAGTTTGGCTCATCAAATGAAAATGTGTATTAAAGTAAAGTGCAATTAAAATGTAGAAAAATGTTCAGTTCACTCACCGAGCACAGCAAATTGAATATAAATAGTATATATTTGACCATAGAGATTCCGCAGCTCATTTTGATTGAGTTTGAGATTCGTTGGGACGGCTGAAGAACTGCAACTGTTTTTGTTGTTGTTTGTTGTCGCGGCACGAAATTAAAAATATCAAGTATACGTTATAAATATATTATTATATCATTTTTATTCAGAAGCATATAAAGCCAAATGCACGCACATACATACGTTCATACATACACACACACACACGAACATATATATGATGCGAACTGAATAACAACAATATCATTTGTTTATAACTAAAACCAAATTCCTTCGTTCGTTTCAGTTTCATTTCATTAGCAGCAAAACACGTTCTGCTTTTGCTTTTTGCATAGTTTGGGATTTCCGTTGGATTTGTTTTTTTTTTTCGTGCAACTTAGAATTAAAATAACAAATTAAAACGTTCAACGTTTCGTTTGCAGCGCGCTTAAACAAGAGAGAACTATGAATATGAATAGAGGGGGGGCGTTGAGTAGGGGGCGGGGCTGCAGCAATCAGCGCACCAGCTCCGGCAAGAGTTTCTGTTTGGGGAGCAGCGAGGCGCGCAGTTGATTGAAACGCTGCCAGATGAACGGATAGCGCGCCGCCCAGGCCAGCCACGCCTCCTTGGTGGCCGTGCTGGTCTCCACCTGACGCAGATGCTTGTAATATTTGCCATTCCTTTTAACAGCTGCTGCCACATCCTGTGCGAACTTGGCAAAGCGCAGCTTGAGCAACGTCTCGGATACATCCAGCAGCCTGTTGCCCTTGGGCGGATGCACCAGGCACAGCTGGCACAGCACATAGTCCTGCGACTGGCTCTTGTTCAGCGGTATAAAGGTGGCCTCGCGTCCAACCAGACACTGCTGCAGCCAGGCGTAGCCATTGGCATTGACGCGCACACCGGGCAGCTTGACAGGCAGCAGGCGGTCGCGACTGGTAAAGATGGGTATCAGCGGGCGATGCTTGATCAGCAGCAGCGTATCCTGATCGCGCTGCTGTATGCCGCGTATCTGGCCGGTGTGCATGATCCTTTCGTTGATGATGCGTTCGGGTATGTGCGACGGCTGCTTGAACTGGCGCACCAAATAGGCCGGTTTGCGCTTCATGTAGGCGACCAGCAGCATCAGCGTCGATGTGCCATAGATGGCCAGTTCGCTGCCGACTGTGTCGCGCTCCAAATAATTACATAATCCTTGGTATTTATCCAAAAGATAGCTTTTCGTGGAGTCCATTGTGGGTTATTGATATGATTATTAAGTACACTAGCGCCTAAAATTGTGCGAGGGAAGGGTTTGGGAATTTGTTTGAGTATTTTATGCAATTATTTCAATGACATCATTTTTTACTTTGACAAACTGGCTGCGGCGACAAACAACGCAAACGTCTTCTAATAGCTTCGTTTTCTTATATATGTATATGCACTACTTTTGTATATATGCACTGTGTGTACATATGTTTGGCAACGCAGTGGCTAATTTTATTTTATTTTTTTTGTCGGTTTTTGTTGTCATTCGTAGGTCTTCTTTATGTTTTGCTTTGCGTCGAAAGACGAAGCAACCCGCAACTTTCACGTCAGACGGACACACTTTCTGACATTTACGCATGCCGGCGACGCCTAAGTGCAAGCGAGCTAGCATGTGAGTGCTAAACGATCTCAACTTGCTTTCCAACACTTAAAGCTTAACGTCTTGCAACACTCTCTGATCAAATACATATACGCGCGCACACACACACACACAAACGCACCTACACAGGCAAACGGAATTCAAAATACTCACACACACCTTGAGCGTATAATTTTCCGTTTTATTTTCGAGTTGTGTATTTGGTTTTGCGCGCGCTACGTTATGAACTGTTGCCGTTGTCGTTACAGACTGAGATCGACGGCGACAACAACCGCCTGTTGCTTCATGCCGTTCGCTTGGGGTCGCTCTCACAGACGCACACGCACACATTAACGCCAGCAGCGCGGGGCACGTTGGCGTTTTTGGCACTTGGCTTCCAATTGATTGTGTACCGTTTGATTGGCGCGTAGTATTTCTGTTCATGTTTTCCCGCCTCTACCCCGCGAACTATTTGAATGACGTTTGCCATCATTGGGGGTGTACTGTATATAAATGCATCAACTTTTATTTAGCTCGCTCATAGTAAATTTAATTTGTTATTTAGTTGCGCTGACTTGCCCTTTGTTTGTTTATTTATGCAAATGCGTTGTGGCTTTGAACGTGATTCTCTTTTCGTTTTTTTTTTTTTTTTGTTGTGGTTGCGCGCCAAAACGTGTTTTGGACTTGGGGTTTTCATTGGCATATGTTTTGTTTACCAATGCCTTGCACTAAGGTTTTTATTACATTGCAGGGCTTAAATTACTTAGCTCAGCTTCCGCGTTTAATAACAATCTCGAACTTGTTTCGAATTCTAAACTTTTTACTTTTGCTTGACATCAACAACAAAAACAATGGCGGCTGCAACAACAACAACAACAACAATGGCGACTGCAACAACAAAACTGGTTTACGTGCTACTGTAACTTGCGTAATCGATTCGGATAAACGTGGCTTGGAAAGCCCAGTTGTTTTGTACGAAATATATATGTATGTCGTGGTAAATACACAAATACCTTGACAAAAAGCATGTGTATGCATGTGTGTTGACACAGAACTATGACTGTGCCTCATTTTCGTCTGCGACGCGGTCACACTCACAAAATCTAATTAACGAGTGCGCACTGTACAATTAACCTCGGCCATATGTAAATGTATTTCCATGCGTAGACACAAACACAATTATTAACAACAAAATGTATTTACATGAATCATTCGCGGTTACTTTGACGGTACCTGCAATAATAGAATACGCTTGTAATTTGAAATAGAAACAAACGTCAGGCTTGATGCAATTTCCCAGCAGTTAAGTTCTGTTTTCGCAGTCTTAAATGAAAATAATTTCGCCGCGCTTAATGGGCAAATTGCTTAGCCACAAATTGGCCCCGCCTGTGCCAAGAGACGTTCGCAGGCACATAAATTAAATTCCGCACAAATTCTACAGCTGCGCAAACAACTTTTGAGTATAAACAAAATGCCAATATGCACGATTCTCTACAACTTCCAGCAAATCCATATTATTTAAACGAGCTTTGATTTTTGTGGGATACACATGTGGGGCAGAAATACTGCAAAAGTACAGCTTTCATACAAAAAAACTTATTTGGCTACGGTTAATCACCAGCTACAGTGATCGCTCGCAACGTGGAACTTGTGGGTTTCCGAGGTCAATCGTATTTCAACAAGCCTCAACACCTTCTAAACGTAAAACCGGTTCCATTTATCCGACAAGCATGTTTCACTGTGCAGGCATTTGACAGATTAGATAATTAATCAAGATTATTTGGAAAATAGGGACGCCATAGTTGTGTGCTTTATTCTGTGCTGCGGCTGCAAAGCAGCGTAGTCAAAAATCGAAATTATTTCCAGTTAAAATCGTTAAATTATGAGTGAGCTTAGCAAATATAATATTAATATTAATACAAGCGTCGCGTGTACTGTATCTGCTGGCCATGTGAGGTCTGCCCGGCGCTAGAGCCAGCGGCCGGCTGCATGGACAGTTGTTGCCTGGTTAATTGCTGATCATAGTTACTGGCGGCGCGTCCCGGCGCATAGCCTTGCGTTATGCTGCCCGTTGCCTTGGGATTCTGGATTCAAATAGACACAAATTATAAATCTGCATTAGATGGTGGATTGAACAGTATTCACCTGCGCCGCACTGGTGCTGATTTGCAGTACATTGGGATGCAGCGATAGCTCGCTCTGCATGGGCTTATATATGACACCGCCTTCGGACAGTAAATGCGGCGGCGGCGGTACATGGCTCTGTGTCGAGCCCTCATGCTTCACCTCAATGTGATAGCGATCCGGCAGCTTCTCCATGGTCACTTGCGGCTTGGACGTTTGCACGGTTAGGCTACTGGCGGCAGTCTGCACCTGCACCAGGTCAGCCTGCGATATGGGCGGTTGATCCAAATTGATGTGCAGCACCTGCATGGGCTGGGCTTTGGGTGATGGTGATTGTGAGCCGGGCGCCTTGCTAACAGTTGCACTGGGCCCAGTCTGTAGCTCCACATGGTATCCGGGCCGCAGTGGCAGGCCGTAGTTGTTGTATATGGACTGTAGACGTGCCTCTGCCTGATGCTGTGTGGTCGGTGGCGCCGCAGTCGTCTGATAGAATAGGGTACCCGTGCTCGGATACTGCGCCGTGGACTCTGTAAGCGCAATACAGAAAAAGAAAATGAGTAAAGCGTGCGGTCATGTCAGGGCCAATTGCTTTGTTAGAGTTCAACTGAGTCGCTTTAGGTGAACTACTTAAAGAGTATCGATTAATATTCTTACTGTTCCATGACATTTTAGCATAGTCAGCGGCACGACGGTAGTCATCGTGTTCTGCGAAACGAATTACAAACAAATAACGAAATCAAAAGTAAAATAAGTGTATGTGCAGTTTAGAAATTAGTGCGCGCTATTCAAATGTGTGACTATGGCTCAGCCAAATCGATATAAACACATGCATATCGTATATGTTAGTAGGGTGAGGGAGGCAAAATAGTGACAGGGCCTGTGCTGGCCAATGTTTGGGGCCTGGCTTACTCGTTTGCTGTTGTGCATAGTTGGCGGGGCTCTTGTAGTACGCCTGATGCTGTTTGCTGGGCGGCGAGGGGCTGCGTCCGCGTTTTACAGACGCTGCCTGAGTGCCCGGCGCAGGCGGCTGCTAATGCAATTTAAACAAATTAAATAAGGTTTATTCGAAGATATACTGCACATTATTTACCTTTTGCAGTATAGGCAGCTGATGGTGTATACGACCGGAAGTCAAAAATACCTGAGCTGTGGCTGCGCTGGCCGCCGCCGCCTGCTGCATGGCCTGCACCTGCTGCAGGGCAAACAGTTCGTTCTCTTTCGCCTGTTTTTTGCGCGTTTCGTCGTCGTTTAGCACCTTCTTCAGTTGCACCACCAGCTGGTGCTTCTTGTGGTGCAAATCGGCCAGCTGCTCGTCCAGTCGGCTGATCTCACCACGTGTATCCGCTAGCGACAAATTATTTTCGCGTTCACGTGCTTCTCGCTCGCGCCGCAGGCGCAGCTCCTCGCATTGTCTTTCATACTCTGTACGTATAATATAATGGGCATTATTGTTCGTTAAACATATTTAATTGCAGTTACCCTCCTGTCTGCGCTTTCGGTCGGCTAGAATAAAGCCTTTAAGTGACCCTCGCAATTTTTCTGCACGCTCTGCAGCTGCGGCTTGCACAGCCGCATTGTTATTGTTCACCGCAGACGCTGGCGGCATCTTTGTGTTCTGCTTAGTTATTTTGCCAATTTTATAAGCTTTTATGGGACAGCCACGCAGCGCGCAAAATTGTGTTAAACCAAACCCAAAAAAACAGGCCAAAACGCCACAGCAGTTGGCTAAACTGAAACTGATTTATTTAATGTCCAAATGGCGCGGTGTTGTCACGTCTGCGCGCGTAATATTTTTTGTTTATTTCAGAGCAAAGCAGGTCGAATTAGAAGTAAAATATTTGTCGCAACTTGCTTAATAACATTTCGCTTTATATGCTCCTTATTAGTTTTTAATTCTGGCCTTTAACTAAATAATAAACAATTTGTTGTTTGCAGCGCACGCGGGCTGGCAACTCTGCTTGTGGCACACTATAGTTGTCTCTTATGCACTTATGTTGAGAACAGCTGGTTGCGTAGAGTTTTTTTTATTAGCATCTGGTCACACTTAAAGCTGCACAACTATCGATAGCGAGCAACTCATCGATAGTAGTGAATCTAGAGACTTGGCTCAGTTGCAGTCGAGTTTTCTTTGCGTCTTGTCACTGCGCGGTAGAAAATTGCTAAGAATTCGCTTTTATACAACAAAAAGTGCTTAATAATATATATATTAGTGATATAAAGTGCAACCGCAGTTATCGCCACTGTGATTTGTGCTTAAATACGCGGGCCTAACGCTTGTGGCAGGTTATTCAATACAAATGCTGTGAAATGTGTGTTCAGTTCTTTGATTAACCCACTTTACTTTGTGCCTGCCAATAAGATTTTTATAGCGTCGAAATAAACAAGAAAAAAAGGCGGCTAAAATAAGAGGAACCAGCGCAGCAAGCAACAAAAACTCCAACATCACAACTATGGCCTGTGAGTAATAATAGCAAGTTACAAATAGAAATAAAATTATGCTTGAATTTTATGCGCACAGTTTGCGTAGCAGCTCCTAAAACCATTTCAGGCTGCACGCTTAATTCAGTTCTTAGGATAAACAAATGCAGCTCATGCGTGTCATTGTGTGTGTATGTGCGTATTTGTGTGTGTGTGGCAATGTCTACATTTTATGTGTGCCTTTATATTTTACGAACTGCCGCTGAATGCACAACAGATTCGAGTACATACGCCCCGCTGCCAGAGACCAGGTGCTTCAAGTGTCTGTCTGTCTGCCGGCAAGAAAAGTTGTGGCAAGTGTGTTGTGGGACGGGTGGGGGTGTGGTGGGGGGATAGGTTGCGGCAGCCTGCCTTCACCGCCGCTGCTGCCGCCTTTTCCTCGGGGGAGTCATGTGTGAAAAATCAATATTTACGCGCCATACCGTTGTTATTGTTGTTTTGCTCTGCACTTTGCACGCATAAATGCTTAAGCCCAACCTGGTCACACTTGGCGATCGGCTTGTTACACTCTTAAACGGAATCCAATCAGTGCTTACATTAAAGTCTGAACTAACACAGTTCACGCTTAAGTTAGTGATCGCCCTAATATGTTGAAACCCAATCAATTTGTCATAATAATTGTTAATTGTGGAGTAAGCATTAGCAAGCCATATTTGCAATAAAATATGAATCACGACGTATGTGGGATACGCTGTTGAATGAGCAATTCATGTTCACCTTTGCTGGTCACACTTGGCGATCGTCGTTACGTGTTTAACTCTTCTACGCAATCCAATCAGAATTTCACTCCATTTAACTGTCAACCACCTTTCAGCAGCAAACACTCACCCGACGACGACTTCCATTAATAAATGAATATGCCCCTGTGAGGTGCCAGCTTTACCGGCAATACCAACAACATGCAACCCCCCTGGGGCATAACAACAAACGCACAAACACACACACACACACGCACGCACACAAATTGTACGTGCCGGCGCACATTTAACGCCACCCCCCTCAGTTGGGTAACTGCTGCAGCTGCGTCCCATTCCCCCCCTTTTACTCACTTTAGATTTTAATTGGTCCTTTGTGTCTCGCACCACCCACCATCGCAGCGCCTGGCCACACTGATAAGGCATATCGTTTGCCAGAAACACCCTGCGCTCAAATTTTGCATTCGGTTTGGGTCCTGCCTTTGCTTTTCTTGATTCTTTATTGTTATTATTATTATTTTCGGGCTTTTCATTCGTTTCACGCAGCTTTAGTCGAGATTAGCTGTGTGTGTGTTTTCCTAGTTGTGGACTTGTGATTTTTCTTCTTCTGCCTCTCCTCCTTCTTTCTTAACTGCTAATAAGATTTTTGGTCTGCGCTTAATGGCCTTGACTATGGTTGCGCAGGGGGCGGGGCGGGGCGTGGATGTGCGCCCGGAATGTGCGCAATTTTAATTGAGTTTGGTCCCCATTCAAATTGGCATAGAAATTAATTTCAATTAACTCGAGTTTTGAGCTACAGACGAAGGACACGCGTTTCTGCCAACGAAAAGTTTGAAGCATGCTTTTGGGACTGAAGCGCTGTCAGCTTGTCAGTTAGTTGGCCAATTCGCAATCAGACAGCTTTTGTTTTATTTAGGGCAAAATGCGCCACATATCAGGCAGTTGACAACAGTGCGCAGAGCTGCTAGAAAAGGTTATGTTTGACAAGAGGTTAAAGGTCATGTTAGCTTTAAGATATTGTAATAGGATAAGAGCATCATTGGTAACCCTAGCCAGGGTATTATAGTGTCACTATCTATGTTAATTATAACAGTACGATAAGTAAATATCGATAAAGAAAAGCGGCTGCAGAGAAGAAGTGGAAGGCAGTCTCTCTACAGTACTAGCAGTAAGAAGACGTGTTGTTAAAAATAAAAAGGCAACCCGAACATAAGTTAAATCAACGAAGAAAATCATACTATTACAATATCAGAAGTGGGATTGACTCAGAAAAAAAAAAAAAAAAAACACAACAAAATGGAAAATATAAATATAAATGACGTGTCAATAGCGACATTGAAAAGTTGGTTGGCATTACTAAATTTGCCAACAGAGGGTACCAAAACTGAGCTGATGGCGAGATTAAATAAGGTACCAGTGGATATCCGAGACGATGCTGCAAAGGAACTTGAAGTTCAACGTAACAAGGAACAGACAATTGAGGCTCAAAATGAGTTGCAAAACATAATGCAACAACAGCGTGACGAAATAGCAAATGGCGCCGAGATGCTGAAATTGATGCGTCTCGAAATTGAAGCGTCTCGAAAATTCCTAGAAGAATTTCAAGTAACGGTGAACCGCAACTCGCACATCGGCGGGAGCGACGGGGGAGAGCAAGAAAGTGAAGTCGGCGATTTATTGCAGCTAGAGGATGGTCACACTGAAGAAAGACCACGGTCGACGGATGGCAACGCTGGTGCAGCTGATTACACTGGAACGGATGGCAACGCTGGTGCAGCTGATCACGCTGGTGCAGCGGGCAACGCTGGGGCAGCTGGAAGGATCGACGAAAGTGGCAACGCTGTCGGAGGCAACTTAAATAATTGCATCCAAACTGGAGCGATGATGTTAGCCAAGGAAATTTTATTAGAATTTACTGGAGAAAGTGAGGTGCGTAAATGGGTAATGCAATTCTTCAATGTGGCCAAGATCTACAGACTAAATGATATGCAACAGCACTTGCTTTGTATAAGCAAATTGAAAGGCGGTGCTTTGAAGTGGTTGCATGCAGACCCTATGCGCATCATTGCTCCGATTGACGAGATGCTAAATCAATTGGTTTTGGCCTTCGGGGGAGGATTTTCGAAGTCGGAACTACGACAGAAGTTCGAGGATCGGGTTTGGAAACCAGATGAGGTGTTCGCCACATATTTTAGCGAAAAAAGCATATTGGCACAGGACATCAACATTGATGTAGAGGAGTTAATGGAGGGTATTATTCGAGGCATACCTTGCGAAAACTTGCGCACTCAAGCTAGTATGCATTGCTTTACCAATCCGGCTCAAATTTTACGTGCGTTTGCAGCTATAAAGTTGCCAATTAAACGGGTACGAAACCATGTAGTGAAACAAACTGCACAGGAAGCACAGGCGGACAAACAACAACGTTGCTACAATTGCAATGTTAAGGGCCATTGGGCCAAAGATTGTTTAAAGCCCAAACGGGAGGCAGGATCTTGCTATGCGTGCGGCTCAAAGGATCATTTAATAGCAGGATGTCCAAATAAAAAGTATGATATGGAAAACAAATATGTAAGATACTTAAGAATTCATTTTAGTAACTCATTTAACAAATCAATAATTGCAGAATGCCTTATAGACTCTGGCAGCCCTATTTCATTTTTAAAGGAAAAGTTTGTGCCATTAAAAGTAAAGCGTATGCCAGATGCAAATTCGTATGTAGGTTTAAATGAAAGTAAATTGAAAAATTTTGGAAAAATTTTATGTTTTATGAAGAAAAAGTTAATAAATGTTTATTTTAATGTTATAATTGTGGCAAATGAGTCTATGAGGTATGACGCTGTGCTTGGTAGAGATTTTATGGATTCTTTTGGTTTAAATATTGATTTAAGAACATTAAAAATTGTGAACGGGCATAAAGTTGATCACCAGAATAATGGTAAAAATGATATCATAGCTACAAGCTACAAAGAAAAACAAAAAAAAGTGGACGATGAAGATATCAAACACGAGCAAAATGAAACTATATTGTTAAATGATAAAATCGTTAATAAGGAAATAGTCAGTAATGAAACTGGTAGTGATGAATTAGTTAGTGAGAAAATTGTTAGTCCGGAAACGCTTGGTGATAAAGTTGGTAGTGATAAGATAGTTAGAAATAAAATAATTAGTGGTGAAATAGTTAGAAATGAAGTGATTGGGATCGAAACTGTTAGTGATGAGATAGTTAGTTATGGAGAGCTTAAGCTCGAACCTGATAGTGAAGAAGTTGTTAGTGATGAAATTATCTATAATCAAACCGGGATTGAAAAAGTGATTATAGAAGATATAGGAAACAGTGCAGTTAAAATTAATAATCATGTTAATGAAGCGCCAGTGAATAGCGAAATCATGGGAGTGTTAGAAGAGAATTTTGAGAAGGATATCTTAACAATAAGTTGGGAAGATTCTAACAAAAGAGAAAATATATATATTTTAAGTGAAGATATTGATTACAGCACAAAGTGTGAATTTGAAAATTTATTTGAAAATACTTATGTAAAAGCGAAAAGGCCAAATCAGCCAAAATTAAGACATGAGTTAAGCATAAGATTAGAAAACGACAAAGTATTTAATTGTACACCTAGGCGGTTATCTTATATGGAAAAAGAAAAGTTGCAAGAATTATTAGACGACTATTTAAAAGATGGAATCATTAGGCCAAGTTGTTCAGAGTATGCATCACCTATAGTACTAGTGAAGAAAAAAACTGGAGACATGAGGTTATGTATTGATTTTAGAAGACTGAACAAAATTATATGTAGAGACAACTACCCGCTACCATTGATCGACGATTTATTAGACAGACTATGCGGAAAAACAGTATTTTCAAAGTTGGATCTAAAAAACGGGTATTTTCATGTTTTTGTTAATGAGCAATCTATTAAATACACTTCATTTGTTACCCCTTTAGGACAATATGAATTTCTTAGGATGCCCATGGGTTTAAAAACTGCGCCACATGTATTTCAAAGATTTGTTAATAACATATTTTGTGATATGATAAAAGATAATAAGGTAATTGTTTACATGGATGATATTATGATAGCAAGTACAAACATAAAGGAACACATGGAGACCTTAAAGGAAGTGTTTATAAGACTGGTGCAAAACAAATTAGAGTTGAAATTAGATAAGTGTGAATTTTTTAAAAGCAGCGTTAAATATTTAGGATTTGTGGTGGATAGTAAAGGCGTTAGGGCTGATGAAAAAGGGTTAGAAGCGGTTAAATCCTTTCCAATACCAAACAAAATTCAGGGAGTACAAAGTTTCCTAGGGTTATGCTCCTACTTCAGGAGGTTCATTTTAAACTTTTCTATATTAGCTAAACCCTTATATGATTTATTGAAAAAAGATAAGAAATTCAAGTTTGGAGAAGAGGAGTTTAAGTGTTTTAATATGTTAAAAGATAAATTGTTAGAGGCGCCAGTACTATCAATATATAATTACAAAGAAGAAATAGAACTACATTGTGATGCCAGCGCAGTGGGATTTGGGGCTGTGTTATTTCAAAAAAAAGAAGATAGGAAATTACACCCGATTTTTTATTTTTCTAAAAGAACAACCGAAGTAGAGTCTAAATATCATAGTTTTGAGTTAGAAACGCTAGCCATCATTTACGCATTACGCAGATTTCGTATATATCTGCAGGGAAAACGATTTAAAATAATGACAGATTGCAACTCTTTAACTTTAACGCTTAACAAAATAGATTTAAATCCGAGAATTGCTAGATGGGCGTTAGAACTACAAAATTACGATTTTGAGTTAGTGCATAGATCGGGCAAGCAAATGCAACATGTGGATGCGTTAAGCAGATGTTATGAGGACATTTTAGTTATTGAATCCAATAGTTTTGAGGACAATTTAGTTATTTGCCAAAGCAAAGATGACAAACTGGTAGATATTAGAAAGATGTTAGAAAAAGAAGAGCACAAGCTATTCGAAATGAGAAATGGGGTCATTTACAGAAAAACAAATGATGGCAGATTAGTTTTTTATGTACCAAAGGATATGGAAGAACATGTACTTTACAAATATCATGATGAGTTGGGACATGCTGGGAGAGATAAGATGATCGATGCCATTGGAAAGAGTTACTGGTTCCCATATATTAAGGAAAAAGCAATAAAGCATATAGGGAATTGTTTAAAATGCATTGCCTTCGCCCCCAAGACGGGTAAGAGTGAAGGACTATTACATAGCATACCGAAAGGAAACAAACCGTGGGAGATGATCCATATAGACCATTATGGACCAATTAATGCAGGAAGGGCTAATAAATATATATTGGCGGTGGTTGACGGATTTTCAAAATTTGTTAGACTATATACAGCAAAGACAACAAGTACGAAAGAAGCGATTAAGGCATTAAAAGATTATTTCAGAGCGTATAGTAGACCTAAGTTCATTGTATCGGACAGAGGGAGTTGTTTTACTGCAAAAGAGTTTGATGAATTTTTAAAAAATGAGGGAGTAACGCATATTAAAATAGCAACGGGTTGTCCGCAAGCAAATGGTCAGGTGGAAAGGTTGAATAGAGACTTGGGTCCGATGATGGCAAAAATGGCGGAGCCAGAAAATGGTTTACATTGGGATGTTATTATAGAAAATGTTGAATATGCAATAAACAACACACAACACAAAAGCATAAAGAAATTTCCAAGCGAAATGTTATTCGGATTACAACAGAAAGGAAAAGTTGTTGATGAATTAAAAGAAAAATTAGAAGAGTTTACACAGGTGAACACGTGTGATAAAAGAAATTTAGAAAATATAAGAAAGAGTGGAGAAATATATCAAAAAGAAGCTCAAATCAGAAATGAAGAGCGGATTAATAAAAAGAAGAAAGTATCAGTAGAATATAAAATAGGTGACTATGTCATGGTAAAAAATTTTGATAGCACACCAGGAGTTTCAAAAAAGTTAATACCAAGATATAAAGGGCCTTATAGTATAGAAAAGATTTTAAAAAATGATAGATACTTGTTAAAGGATGTAGAAGGCTTTCAATTATCTCGCAACCCGTACGTTGGTATCTGGAATAGCCAAAACTTTAAGCATTGGATGCGAAAATAGGCAATAAGCATTAGTTATAAAGATAGATACACATATAAAAGACAGAGATCGGGAGCTCTCTTTGTCAGGATGGCCGAGTTGTAATAGGATAAGAGCATCATTGGTAACCCTAGCCAGGGTATTATAGTGTCACTATCTATGTTAATTATAACAGTACGATAAGTAAATATCGATAAAGAAAAGCGGCTGCAGAGAAGAAGTGGAAGGCAGTCTCTCTACAGTACTAGCAGTAAGAAGACGTGTTGTTAAAAATAAAAAGGCAACCCGAACATAAGTTAAATCAACGAAGAAAATCATACTATTACAATATGCTTCCATTATGGTTGCTTTTCATTTCGACCAAGCTAATATTCTTTATTCATAATTTACCTACATATATTTATCAAACTTAAGTTAATTTTAGAAACTAAGGCGATGCTTTAAGTATTTCACTCACAAGAGTGAAAAATAAGTGAAAAACTTTTCGACATTCGAAATTCATTCGAGAATTAACAATAACTATTCGATTTGTGACAAATTGATGCATGAAACTGATTTTGTAATATTACAACATGGTTCTTTTTTTTTTAATATCATGCAAAACATGAAAAATTCGCAAAATTCACACCAACCGGCGGAAAATAAGTGAAATGTGATAATCTGGCAAATTTACAATTATCAAGTTTTGTGTGGGAGCTACTTTTGCTTACAAATTGTGCTCAAATAAAGCATTCAAATGGTCGTGTGTTTCGTGTCAAATAAATTCGTAAGCAAACAGGTTAATTGAATTTGTTTCGATGTGGATTGTGAATTGAGCTGTGTTTCAATTCGCTGCGACTTTATTCAAAATTAAATGTTTGAAGCTAGCTACCGCAGTTCACACAAGTACACATAGATAGATACATACACAGACATACATGTATATCAAGTCAAAATTTTTGCTTACGCAAGCTGCCGCAGGACGCTGGAGCAGTGCAGCAGCCGGCGCCCAAGCCATGGACCCGGACCAGCGGCTGGCCAGCGGCTGCCTGAGATTGGCCGTCAACGAGCTGAGCGTGGGCAATTACACGCTGGCCATGGGCCTGATCAATGAGGGCATGGCACGCAGCCATGGCAATCACAATGAGATCATGGCCTTGCTCGAGCTGAAGAACATTGTGGTGCGTTTGCGGCTCAAATGCGAAACGCCCGGCCAGCTAATCGGACCGACCTGCAAGTCCGCAGCGCTGCCGTATAGCTTCACCGTGGAGATGCTCGACGTTGTGCAGAAGGTGCTGCGTTGCCGCAATCATTACGAGGTGCTGCGCATTTCGCATCATGCCACCTACTCGGAGGTGAAGCGTGCCTATAAGCGTCTGGCGTTGCGCCTGCATCCGGACAAGAATCGTGCGCCCGGCGCCGATATCGCCTTTCGGCGCATCAACGAGGCGGCCGACACGCTGACGGACAATCAGAAGCGCATCGAGTATAATTTGTTAACTGCCGTTGGCGATTGCTTTGGCGGCAAGGCCAGTCTCTATGGCAAGGATGTGAAGACGGCAGGCGTACAATATGAGCCGCACACAGAGCAGCAGCAGGACGAGGAGCAGCAGGGAGATCAACCACGACGCAACTATCAGCCGGCCAATCAGCGTGTGCCGCAGCGACAAACGCTCTACCAGACCGAACAGCTAGTCATTGGACTTGTGGCCGCCCTGGTGTTCATTATCATCACGGTCCACTATTTGTCCACAGCGCCCAACTATAGTTTTACGCCCACCAGGTAAATCGGAAGTGTGTCTCAATTAGAGTTCTGCATCGGTTAATTAAGTTGCAGCAAACACGAGTACTCAATCGAATAAACCGAGTCCAACTCGTTGTTCGATCTGCTCGACTCTGCAACATGTTCGAGCTATGTTCGAACGCAACCAAAATAGTCAAGAGTTTGAAGCGAACTCGAGCCTATTTTTGCTTGTAAGAAACTGAATGTTCGTTTGCAATGCGAACAGCTCGAGCAAAAAGAACTTTCGCTTCGCTCGATGCAGGGCTCTAGTTGCCATCAACTGCAGCTGAAAACTTTCGTCGTTTACCTTGCAGCAGCCACAGCGTGCGCCTGGTGAGCCGGCTCTGGCGTGTGCCCTACTTTGTGACGCCCAAACTGGCGGCCAGCCAAACGCCCAAGCAGCTGGAGCGCATGGAGTTGGAGATCGAGGAGATCTATCTGACGGAAATCAAGCACAACTGCAAGCAGGAGCGCAAGCTGCGTGAGTTTGGGGCGGACTTTCCTCTGCGATACCATCATAGTTTCAACTCTAAATCCTTTGTAGGCGACAAACTGTTGCAACGCGCTCGCAACACGAACAATCACAATTTGCTTGATCACGCGCTGAAGATGCCAACGCCCGCCTGCCACGCCCTCATCAAGCTGGATCAGTTCAAGAGCCAGCCGCTGCTATTGGACAATATTTCGGATAAGAATGACTCATGGGATTAAAAATCGAAACAAAAACCGAATAAACAAACTGAACTCGGACCAAATCTTAAATCAGACGAAATCTTAATGTACTTCAGACTTTTACAAAATTAACATATATGCTGTACATGTATTGGGTATTGTTTATAAAAAGAGAAATCTTACTTATTTTAAAACAATTGCATAAGTTATTTATATGAAAAAATGTATCTGAAGAGTTATCTCTGTGAGCCAAATGGACAATTAATGAAGCACGATAGAGCATAAAAACTACCCATGAACTACCCTACTCTACGCTCCTTCTCAGAGAACTCGGCAACTAAAAGAGCTAGAGATCTTAAACTGGGCGTGGTTCTAGTTGTATACCAAATGTTGCAGTTGCTACAAAAATCGATAAAAATCGATATCCACGCCAACTTATTTGCGCATAAATTAGGACTATGATCAGCAAATTTTGAATAGAGTTGTGAATCCAGATTAACATTCTCTTTTTATAATTTCACTCTTTTCCCAATAATCGATAAATATCGATTTTACGTTGAAGAGATTTCTAGAATAGCAACTTAGAAATATTTTTTCCTTTATAAGCTTTAATAATTTCTCGCAGTTGCAACAAAAATCGATGAAAATCTATTTCTAAGCCAACTTTCTTGTGAATGTCTTGCACAATTTCTTGTGGATACAGCTCTGTATCCAATTAAGTATATATAATTATATGTTTTTGATAAGCACTAAGCGATTTATTCATATATCTATATGTCTGTCTTTCTGTCTATCTATCTATCTGTCTTTCAATCTATCTATCTGTCTGTCTTTCTATCTATCTATCTGTCTTTCAATCTATCTATCTATCCGTCTGTCTTTCAATCTATCTATCTGTCTTTCTATCTATTTGCCGTCTATCCGTCTGAACATAGAAATATGTTTTCTTACCAGTTCAGCTAAAGCTTTTATTTATGTATGTACTTGCCTGTCAACTTATTATTCTAAAAATTTCAAAGCTATTGAACGATAAATATAAAAGTTATTCAAGAGAAAAGGGCGCAGCTGTCATGTTTTGAGCCTAATCGTTATTGCTTTTTTGAGCAACTTATGAGCTAAAAAAATGTTTGTAAAAAAAAAAACGGATTGTAATGTAACGATGCGGTTGCCATGTCGCTCGTTTATTGTCCTGTCCTCTTCTAACCCAGTTTTGTTTTGGCCAAAAGTGCACACGGGGCGAAAAATAAATAAATAGCCAAAAAAAAAAAAAAAAATGAGATGGGCTTGCCTCCGCCGCCCCCCAAAGCAATTGGCCCACAATTGCTGCCAAGCGCAGCCCGAGAAGCTAACGAACTTGGGGACATAGCCTGAATACTGAACACGAATTGGTGAATACTGAGTGCTGAATAGTGAATACTGAATAGTTGAATAGCGAATAGTTGAATACCGGCGGGTGCCAGTTACAGCAAAATCCCAAATACAAATAACCAGGCACGCAAACGGAGCCAGACGAACAACAACTTTGATGTTGATGCGTTCCACTCACATAAAAGAAGTCGCGCGAGCGGCGGGGGCAGGGGCGCGAGCGGAAGTCGCACGTTGCACCTGCCACGTCTGCCACACAAATGTGTGTGTTGGCAACACACGGCAACTGTTCAAATGCAACTGCAATTTCCAGCAACAACAACAAATGCAACAATTTCACTCGAAATGCAATGCATTCAGTTATTGGAACGGCATAAGGGTAACACATTTGTTCTATGTGCCGGGCAGGGTTGTGCGGCGCCGTGTGCAGGGTTGCCCTTACAGCTGCTGCGTTTCTATGCCAAATGCTTGAACCGTGCTTTTCTAATGACCTGTATTCATTAGAGAGCCCAAAAGGGTCTGCTAGTGCTGCAAATGCTTGCAACTGGCAGCTGTTGGCAACTCTGAACCCCGATCGAGCATTAAAACTACCTATGAACCTTCGCTTTCCTCAGTGAACTCGGCAACTATAAGAGCTAGAGACCTTAAATTGGGTATGGGACTGCTTTTAAAGCCCACTTGGACTCAGTTGATATCATTTGCTTGATAACTCTCGTAGTTGCTACAGAAATCGATAAAAATCGATTGCCAAGCCAACTTTTTTAAGCATTCCTTAAAAATATGATCAACAAATTTTATATGTGGTTTTACTACTATTGCATATACATATACAGGTTTTTTTTCTCTTATTCACTGAAAATCGATAAATATCGATTCAATATTTAAGAAATTTTTTGACTATAAACTTTGAAATGGTTCTAGTAGTTTTTTGATAATTTTGCTGTATGCCCGAAAATCGATAAATATCGATTTTATTTCTTAGAGTTTAGCAGAACTATAGAACTATATATCTAGAAATCTTATATATTTTTGGGTTTATCGATAAGTACACCCTGTGTACAGGGTGTCTCGTAGTCACACGCTCTTGCCTCAGCAACACTCGGTCCATTTTTGTTTTTTGTTTTGGGTCCACATTCACTGTTTTGTTCAACTTTTATTCATTATTTATGCTCCACAAAGCTGCCTGAATGCCCTTTCTGTGCGCCAATGCAAAGTAGAGTTTGTTGTTGTTGTTGTTGTTGTCGCCCACTCTCGTATAGTTGTTGCTGTTGTTGTTGCCACTTTTCAACTTGGCTTCGGTTCGGTTCGAGTCTGGCCCTTGCCCTTCGCTTGGCTTTTGCTGAGACGGAGGGAAAAAGCTTATCAGAATAGCATTAGGCAGGGTTTCGGGCCATGTGTTTGTTTTTTATGCCCTAGCCCGTGCTAAGGGATAATCACTTGTTGAGAGCAGCCTGTGCTCAGCTCAACATTGGACTACTTTTGATTCCTTTTAGGGGTATTTACTTTCGTCCCAGTCAATATGCTGGTTGTATGAGGTGGAAAAAGCAGGGAAGTGGAATTGAAAGCACAAGAACAAATAGTTGAAATGTGTGTTATAGGAACTTCTTCCTGCTTGTTTAATATTGACATATATTTTTTTTAACAGCTTTATGTCTAAAGTGCAACTGTATTTGGCTTAAATTAAGTTGGGATAAGTAAGGATTAAGGATTTCAAAACAGCATTGAAAAGGCTGCCAACTATTTATTTCACTCGCAGATAGATATCTCTATATATATGCTGTGCATCGATTCTGGCCTTGCAAACGTATATTAACCCTTAGGTAGCTTTAACTAGTTGGGAATTATAAGCGTCTAGCTACGAGAACTAAGCAAAGCGAGACAACCAGTTTATATTTGCTGTGCAAGGCGTCAACTATGCCTCGCCCTCTCTTTTTAACATTAACATCATTTCTAATAGACTTGACTTGTAAGGGTATTTAATATTCGCTGCACGGCTTATCCTTTCGTTTCTTACCTTTTTGCTGGCTTTATTTTTTGTTGCCTTCGCTTTTTCTGTTGCCAGCTGCGCTGTTGGAGAATTTATGCAAATTGACTGTTTGTCTGTTGCCCGAAGGATTTCTCTGGCTCTCTCGCTATCTCTCTCTCTCTCTCTCTCTCTCTCCCGCTTTCTGGCCAGCAAATGAGCATTTAATGGGAGACACGCTTTAAGCATTTGCACATAATTTTCTGGTGAACTAAATTGCGCTGGGCTGACAATTCGCAAACAAATGATATTACATTTTCTGCTCCTTTTTTTTTGTGGCCAATAACCGCCGGAATTGTGAGCAATAAATTTGCCAGGCCAACAATGAGCGGGATACGCTGCGCTGTGGCATGCCTCGCGTGCCACAAATAAATAAATATAAAAACAAAATAGATAAAAGTGCCCTTAATATTTACAACATATTTAGTTTAACGAAATGGTTTTGTGTGCCTGCCCCTTCCTCCTTTTAGCCGAAATGGACGAGCTCATCGAGCAGCTGAAAACGACAAGCGTCAGCCTGGACAATACGACGACGACGCTGCTCTGCGAGATTTCGGCCACAAAGGATCCCAAATTGTTTGACAAGCACGAGCTGGCCGATTGTTTTCTGCGTCTGACACAGTGCGAGGACACAACCGTGCGCAAGGAGGCGGCCAAATGCATTGCCGAGATAACCAAATCGGAGGTGCAACGAAAGAAGTTCACCAAACGCGACATCATCGCTGCCTTCCTCGAGTGCCTGCGCCATGTGCCCGCCGCGGATGGCAGCATGGAGCTGCCCATACAGATATGCCGGGCGCTGGGCAACATTTGTTATCTGAACGATGAGGCGCGTGATCTCATTTTGGAGCTGCAGGGCGATGCGGTGCTATTGCGCCTGCTCGACATAGCCGAGATCGAGGATGTGGCCAATGCGCCGCAGTTCATCAAAGTGCGCGGCGGCTTGCTCTCCAATTATCTGTTGGGCGGCGAGGGTCTGGCCAAGCGTGCCATGGAGCTGGGCATAATGCAGCAGCTGCAGCGCATTGTGGACACGGGCGCTGACAATGTCGAAAAGCACGAGGATCTGCTGCTCAACACGTTGCCGCTGCTTAGCATACTCACCGAGAATGTGGCCGATTTGAACTTTGAATCGCAGCTGAATATCAAATTATCACGCATTTTGGCCGCCTCCACAAATCCCGATCTGGCCGAAATGTGCCTCGAGCTGCTGCACTATCAGGCGGAAAGCGACGAGGTCAAGCTGCTGCTGGCCAAGGATGGCCTCTGCGAGACCATCTACAATCTGCTGGAGAAATACAAGACGCTGGCCAGCACCAGCGAGGCGCGTGCGCTCATGAAACTGGCCTGTGAACTGATTGTGCTCATCCTGACGGGCGGTAAGTGCCGGACTACTTCTAGTTCTACTCTCGTTCCCTCTCTAATACTCTCCTCTGGCAGATGAATCCATGCACTATTTGTACACCACGCCGCTGCTAAAGAACATGGTCGACTGGCTGGACTCGACGGATATTGATCTATTGACCACGGGCGTCTTGGCCCTGGGCAATTTCGCGCGCACCGACAGCCATTGCATTTACTTTGTGGAGCAGCAGACCATGAAGAAGCTGCTACAGGTGTTGGCCAAAAATAATGGCGTCAAGGACGATGTGCGTCTGCAGCACGCACTGCTCAGTGCACTACGCAACCTGGTCATACCCAAGCCGAACAAGAATGCGGTCATTCAGGCGGGCCTCGTACAGACCATATTGCCCATGCTGGAAATCCATCAGCCGCCGGTTGTGTTCAAGCTGCTCGGCACGCTGCGCATGACCGTAGATGGTCAGGGTGAGTCCAACATGTGCAACATGATTGCAAACAGCTTCGCTTAACACTTGACTACACGCATTTACAGAGAAACTGGCACTGGAGCTGCTGAAGAATAAGACGCTGATCGAGCAGCTGGTGCACTGGAGCAAATCGTCCGACTATGCGGGCGTCACTGGCGAATCGCTGCGTCTGATGGCCTGGCTGATTAAGCACGCGTATCTCAATAAGATTGCCTATGCGCTGCCCCGCAAAGGTGATGCCCCGGCCGAACAGATTGCGGACAAGATACCCTTGGCCCAAGACTATGATCGCAGCAGTCTCAGTGAATTTCTGGCCAATGAGGGCACCATCGAGGCCATGGTCAGCATGCTGACAGCACAGCATCTGGTCATGCAGAACGAGGCACTGATTGCCCTATGCATACTCTCTGTGGTGTATCTATCGAAGCCCACCGAGGCGGAGCAGGCGCAACGTTTGCAGGATGAGCTCATCAAATGCAATGTGGGCGCCAAACTGGCGGAGCTCATTACCAAATCATCGGACAGCATGACCAAGGAGATTGTCGAGAATCTGGAGAATTGCATTAATCTGCTGAAGACAGCCGATAAACTGGTCGCACATCTCGAGCAGCACAACATAAACGAGCTGCTCAAATCCATACCCATTCTAACCGAATACTGCACCTTGTAAGGATTATAGGCAGCGGAAATCAGGCACATTTGCATTTATACGAGAGAAATCTACCCTCGCTGTCCAAGCACCGCCAGTTGCCTATTTCAGCCCACACTCAGACAGACACACTCCACAAGTTGGCCCCAATTGTAGTTTCCACCTTAGAGCAACGATTCAGATCTTAGACTTGATTATATATAGTTTCATTAACCTGAAACAGAACAGACGTGAACAGAACAGATGATACGGGAATGTATTTTTTAGACGCAAGCGTATTTTTACTGCATTTACCACATAAAACATAATTAATTAAATATACTACATACTATATATATATATATACACACATATATATACACGTAAAATATATATATATACGTATGTATTAAATAAGGCATATAAAAACATTTCTGTTACATGATTTTTAAGAGCACAATAACAACAAAACGAGGTGATATCGCTAAATATATTAAATAAATGTATTTTACGTATTGTACTTATAATTTGTATTTGAACGATTTACAAAAAAAAAAAAAAAAAACATTTGTTGGCACACATCAAAAACCAAAAAGAAAAAACAATTTCAAGCACAATTTTGCATGCGATTTGTATTAAGCATTTTAATTGTTGCACTTTTCAAAATTTATAATTAATATTAGTACCGTAAAACTCACCGAAATTCTCTCTCTCTCTCACACACACACACATACACACAGTTGAAATTAACATTTTTTAAACAATTTATAGCAGAACACAAAAGAAAAATTGTAACCTTATAACAATCAGCGAAAATAGCTTAAACTCGAATGAAATATGCAAATTTTACAAAGCGTAGTGCTAGAGTATATATATATATATATATATTAAACATTTTAACATTAAGTATTGTACTCAATTTGTGGTCACCAAACAACAACAACAACAAACAGAAAATTTCTTAAACCTAACACGTAAGGCAAGTTTAAGCACAATTTAAGAAAATATTTATATAACGCGTTGAAACACACAAATATTTATAAATTCGAAACACAATAATGTACATTTAAATAGTTCAAATACAATTTGAAATGCATGAGAAAATAAAATGAGAGACAAAACCAAAGAAAATTTCCAGTAACGGTTGCGGACTGCTTTTCGACAATTTAATGAAAACCATTTAAAACCGTTTGTGAGTAGCTTTGATTCGGTTTGCTATGCGAGGACTTTCCTTGAAAAACTCGGCAAGCTGTGTCGTATAAATACTTGAAGTTATGAATATATTTTTTTTTTTTTAATATTAATTTTAAATACTTACCGATATTTTTCGATTTGATAGCTCCGTATTGCCGAGAAAAACGTAAGCAGAACGCCACAGCCTTTTTCGTTTAACGTCGAATTCAATTAATTTGTTTTGGTTATTTTCGCGCTTGCGTAGAACGGTCACACTGATCTCTAATAAAAGTCAGACGCTAACGCTACGGAAAGTTTTTGTCATTTTATTTTGTTTTAACATGCTGAGAAAGTGTTTTTATTCAAGTGCTTTGCAAGCTCCACTTAAACGCCAATAATATCGCATATTTTGTGCTGCATTAACAATAAAACAAACAATTGTGATGCGAAAGACCCGCTCGCAAACTCAGGCGGAAAATGCCGCTTCAACCACACCGCAGCAATCAGCACCAACAGCAGTAAACACATTTGATGCGGCTAAATTCAAGGTAACTTTATCTTTCAATGTTTCATTTAATGCACTTAAGCATTCAAAAAACAGTGTATTTTAATAAGAAAAAAAAAAACAATTGATAAGTAAAAACAATGTGACCGCAGGCAAGCCTCATTTTCAGCGCCCCCTGGTGCAACATACGCAAACGCTTGCTGCTAGACAAACGATTACTTTACAACACTATCATCCGCCATATTTCCTCCGACAAAACAAATTTGTGCGATTAAAAAGATAAATGCGGGGGGACATTAAATAATAAATGTGTTGAATATCAGTAAATGTTTATATTAGTTACAAACAAATACATTAGCAATATAAAAGCGGTAATTGTGATGAAAATCATGGCTATGCCGTCGAACGCCATTTTCGCCCGTGTCGTTCAAGGTAATGTACAATTTGGGACATGCGATTTTGTATCCACTGTGCGGTCTGTGTGTAGCTTTTTTTTTTTGCAAAGAATAAGCAAAAGTGAGCCGGCGTTTATCTAGCGCTTAAATGTTGTAATTGACTGGCCAAAAGCATATACTTTTTATGCCTATATGCATATGCACATGGGACAAATATCTTATGTACATTTCGGTTGAGACACACACATTCACGCACACATGCAATACATACCCAAATGCCATTAGCTGTGTGCGCGCGTGTGTGTGTGTGTGCAGCGTCGTCGTGCCTTTTAGTCTGTTACTGTTATTTTATTAGCCTTCTCCTCCACTCACATCTTCTGCTTGCAGGAATGTGAGCAAATGGTGCAGATGCTACGCGTCGTAGAGCTGCAAAAAATCTTATCGTTTCTGAACATTTCCTTCGCTGGACGAAAAACCGATCTGCAAAGTCGCATCCTATCGTTCCTGCGTACTAACCTGGAGCTGCTCGCACCCAAGGTACAAGAAGTTTACGCTCAATCCGTGCAAGAACAAAGCGCCACGCTGCAGTACATAGACCCAACCAGGATGTACTCGCACATGCAGCTGCCCACTGTGCAGCCAAATAATGCGAGTCTTGTGGGCGGTGCACCGACCCAGGTGCCACAAGTGGGCGCCGGCAATCCCGCCCAGATGCCTGTCGGTGCTGGCGGTGCGCCCGGCAATATGATACCCTACCTGCACTCGCACACCATGAACAGCCAAATGCCCATACATCCCGATGTGCGTCTGAAAAAGCTTGCATTCTACGATGTCCTTGGCACACTCATCAAACCATCGACTCTGGTGCCGCGCAACACACAACGAGTGCAAGAGGTGCCTTTCTATTTTACGCTGACGCCACAGCAGGCTACAGAGATCGCCACAAATCGCGATATACGCAACAGTTCAAAGGTGGAGCACGCCATACAGGTGCAGCTGCGCTTCTGTCTCGTGGAGACATCGTGCGACCAGGAGGATTGCTTTCCACCCAGTGTCAATGTCAAAGTGAACAACAAATTGTGTCAGCTGCCTGTAAGTATTAACTACAATTTATCTATCCATACATTTAAATGTTAGTTACCCAAGCGCACAATCCAAATCGTGAGATCTAGGAAGCTGAAAATGTGGAAACGTAAGAAATTGCTTTCGATTATAGAAGTGATTCACACTTTTCGGAAAAGGTGGAAAGTTGGCGTCCAAGTTTATTTGAAGAACGGTTCAAATTTCGGCTCAAAAAGTTGTTTATATATTAATTTTATTGGCACGCGTTCCTGTTCGATTTAATGAAAATAGCCTTTTGTACCTTTTACTAATTCTCCTTTGCTGCTCCACAGAATGTCATTCCTACAAATCGCCCAAACGTGGAACCGAAACGTCCACCACGGCCGGTGAATGTGACCTCAAACGTCAAACTGTCGCCGACTGTGACCAACACAATAACGGTTCAATGGTGTCCGGACTACACGCGCAGCTACTGCCTCGCCGTCTATTTGGTAAAGAAACTAACATCCGCACAGCTGTTGCACCGCATGAAGACCAAGGGCGTCAAACCCGCGGATTACACGCGTGCTTTGAGTAGGTTACAAGTTGAGAATTTCCAATTGATTCGAATATTAACGATTCGCTTGAATTTCAGTTAAGGAGAAGCTTACCGAGGACGCTGACTGCGAGATAGCCACGACCATGCTGAAGGTGTCGCTTAATTGCCCGTTGGGCAAAATGAAAATGTCGCTGCCGTGCCGAGCATCAACATGCTCCCACTTGCAGTGCTTTGATGCCAGTCTCTACCTGCAAATGAACGAGCGCAAGCCCACCTGGAATTGTCCAGTCTGCGACAGGCCGGCCATTTATGATCATTTAGTAATCGATGGGTACGGTTTATTCAGTCTATATTTTGCCAATACAATATATTTATGTAGTTTATCTTTTCCTGCAGCTATTTTCAAGAGGTATTAGGCTCGTCGCTGCTGAAAAGCGACGACACTGAGATTCAGCTGCATCAGGATGGCTCCTGGAGCACTCCGGGACTGCGCAGCGAGACACAAATACTGGACACGCCGTCAAAGCCTGTTTCTAAAGTGGAGGTCATATCGGATGATGTCGGTGCGTAGTAAATGATGATCATTGGATGGATTGTGGTTTATAATCGTGGAATATTAATTTGTATATTGTTCAATTTGTGCAGAACTGATTGATGACACAAAACCGATGAAGTCTGATCTGTCTCCAGCGCCCGAGGAGCAGCCAACGTCCACGTCCAACAGTGAAACCGTAAGTGCAACCAACTTTCCTAACTTTCCTCAACAAATCATGTTATAAATGTTTATATCTTGTGCCGTAGGTGGATCTAACCTTAAGTGATTCGGATGATGATATGCCGCTGGCCAAGCGGCGACCGCCAGCCAAACAGGCGGCTGCTACGTCCACATCGAACGGTACGGGCGCCGCTCAACGTGCCTATGCCTCGTCACAGCAGCAACAGCAGCAGCAGCAGCAACCGGCAAAAACTGGTACGTTGGATCCATTTTTGTAATAAGATGAAGCAAAGCAACAGGCAACAATCGATTTGTTGAACACACTTTGTATAGCAAAAACAGATTTCAAACAAATATTTATAAAACGTTAGGGTAACATATACACATAAGGCAATATTCGTACACACACACACACACACCACATACACACACCATCATCATACGCACACACGCACACCATACACCAGCCCCACAAAAGCTCTTCAACTCGAGTTGCCTTTTTAACTTGCTATGAAAATTACCCCCTTCACTTCTGGTGTTTTGCGCACTTTTCACAAGCTTTTCGAAAACTATAGCTATTAACAGCTATTTAAGCAATTTAATATGAATCGGAATTAGATTGAAATTCGAATCTAATCTATTGGGGATTGTGTAGAGTTTGAGAATTGAATGGAAGTGGTCTCAGCCATTGATCTATCTCCATTCTGTAAATCTATGGATATACCAGGCGCCAGTTGACTAAAGCCATCAGACTATGGTCCGTTCTAGACATGGCTACGCCATCCGGCCCGATGCCGATGCTCAATAATAGCCGTCAGTTTCTGTAGTCAGGACTTTATATATTTGCTGTAATCACAATTTGTACATAAATGCAATTTTCTTATAGATATATTAAAAAAAGC